TCCCTCTCTCTCTCTCTCTTTCTCCCTCTCTCTCTCTCTCTTTCTCCCTCTCTCTCTCTCTTTCTCCCTCCCTCTCTCTTCTTCCCTCCCTAACTCTTCCTCCCTCCCTCTCTCTACAGCCTGGTCAGTATCCTACAGCTCCCCACAGCCTGGTGCGTATCCTACAGCTTCCCACAGCCTGGTCCGTATCCTACAGCTCCCCACAGCCTGATCCGTATCCTACAGCTTCCCACAGCACGACCCGTATCCTACAGCTCCCCACAGCCTGGTGCGTATCCTACAGCTCCCCACAGCCTGGTGCGTATCCTACAGCTCCCCACAGCCTGGTGCGTATCCTACAGCTCCCCACAGACTGGTCCGTATCCTACAGCTTCCCACAGCCTGGTCCGTATCCTACAGCTCCCCACAGCCTGATCCGTATCCTACAGCTTCCCACAGCACGACCCGTATCCTACAGCTCCCCACAGCCTGGTGCGTATCCTACAGCTCCCCACAGCCTGGTGCATATCCTACAGCTCCCCACAGCCTGGTCCGTATCCCACAGCTTCCCACAGCCTGGTCCGTAATCTCCAGCTACCCACAGCACGATCCGTATCCTACAGCTCCCCACAGCCTGGTGCGTATCCTACAGCTCCCCACAGCCTGGTGCGTATCCTACAGCTCCCCACAGCCTGGTGCGTATCCTACAGCTCCCCACAGCCTGGTCCGTATCCTACAGCTTCCCACAGCCTGGTGCGTATCCTACAGCTCCCCACAGCCTGGTCAGTATCCTACAGCTTCCCACAGCCTGGTCAGTATCCTACAGCTCCCCACAGCCTGGTCCGTATCCTACAGCATCCAACAGCCTGGTCAGTATCCTACAGCTTCCCACAGCCTGGTCCGTATCCTACAGCTCCCCACAAGCCTGGTCCGTATCCTACAGCTCCCCACAGCCTGGTCCATATCCTACAGCTTGGTCCGTATCCTACAGCTTCCCACAGCCTGGTCCGTATCCTACAGCTTCCCACAGCCTGGTCCGTATCCTACAGCTTCCCACAGCCTGGTCCGTATCCTACAGCTTCCCACAGCCTGGTCCGTATCTACAGCTTGGTCCGTATCCTACAGCTTCCCACAGCCTGGTGCGTATCCTACAGCTTCCCACAGCCTGGTCCGTATCCTACAGCTCCCCACAGCCTGGTCCGTATTCCTACAGCTCCCCACAGCTTGGTCCGTATCCTAAAGCTCCCCACAGCCTGGTCCGTATCCTACAGCTTCCCACAGCCTGGTCCGTATCCTACAGCTCCCCACAGCCTGGTCCGTATCCTACAGCTTGGTTCGTATCCTACAGCTTCCCACAGCCTGGTCCGTATCCTACAGCTCCCCACAGCCTGGTCCGTATCCTACAGCTTGGTCCGTATCCTACAGCTCCCCACAGCCTGGTCCGTATCCTACAGCTCCCCACAGCCTGGGTCCGTATCCTACAGCTCCCCACAGCCTGGTCCGTATCCTACAGCTTCCCACAGCCTGGTCCGTATCCTACAGCTCCCCACAGCCTGGTCCGTATCCTACAGCTTGGTCCGTATCCTACAGCTTCCCACAGCCTGGTCCGTATAATACAGCTCCCCACAGCCTGGTCCGTATCCTACAGCTCCCCCACAGTCTGGTCCGTATCCTACAGCTCCCCACAGCCTGGTCCGTATCCTACAGCTTCCCACAGCCTGGTCCGTATCCTACAGCTCCCCACAGCCTGGTCCGTATCCTACAGCTGGTCCGTATTCTACAGCTTCCACAGCCTGGTCCGTATCATACAGCTCCCCACAGCCTGGTCCGTATCCTACAGCTCCCCACAGCCTGGTCCGTATCCTACAGCTCCCACAGCCTGGTCCGTATCCTACAGCTCCCCACAGCCTGGTCCGTATCCTACAGCTCCCCACAGCCTGGTCCGTATCCTACAGCTTGGTCCGTATCCTACAGCTTCCCACAGCCTGGTCCGTATCCTACAGCTCCCCACAGCTTGGTCCGTATCCTAAAGCTCCCCACAGCCTGGTCCGTATCCTACAGCTTCCCACAGCCTGGTCCGTATCCTACAGCTCCCCACAGCCTGGTCCGTATCCTACAGCTTGGTCCGTATCCTACAGCTTCCCACAGCCTGGTCCGTATCCTACAGCTCCCCACAGCCTGGTCCGTATCCTACAGCTCCCCACAGCCTGGTCCGTATCCTACAGCTCCCCACAGCCTGGTCCGTAT